CATTTACATTTCCCTGCTTACCCTCTTTCTCTTTCCCTGGTTCACCCTTCTCCTTTACAGTTTGTTTCTGATGAAAATATCCAAGTATACAATCACAATGTGGCCCTACACCATCTTTATAGGGACAACAGTTTCTGGAAGGTGACATATGAACTTACCACCTTTCCCGCATTTCCTGGGACAATTTCAAAGGACACCACCTGACGGACCTCAAATCTTCCATTGCATATTGCTGCATAGTCCCCACCTCTTCAGATGATCTCTTATTTCTCATGGTTCTGTGGGCCACTACAGTCACATGGCATTGACTGGGGTCATAACATAGTTGTTATTGTGTTTAGTTGCTGGGTTGGGCTGGAAGAACAAGAAGGCTTCTCTCATCTATTTCCTTCACTTGTGATCAATGCCAGGGGCTAGGCTCCACCCTTTGAAGATCCATCTAATATATGTTCCTGTGACAGTGTTCTCTGAATTATCCCCTCACTGTCACACGTACCTGTGTATTGCAACAATGCTTAACAGGAATAGCAGTAGCCAGATAATAACTAGTATAATAGGAGCAGCATCCTGAAGGGGAGGAACCTCTAGGTATGGCAGCGGGAGGAGGTAACAAAGACCCTGTACGGGGCCAGATGTAGCTCAGTAGCAAAGCACTCACTTAGCATGCAAGGCTCTGGGTTCAATCCCCAGTACTTCCCCCGCCCCCCAAAAAATGTTCTTTCCTCCACCAAACTGTTTCAGGTTCCTTTGCTCAGCTAGGCTTCAAAGTTGGTTCATAAAAACTGCAGACTTTCAGTACAAATGCTTTTGTCTGCTCCTCCCCCATCCACCCACTAAGAGATATGAAAAATACTTGCTAATATCTCAAGGTCATACCCCTAGAATGATACTGCCTTAAGTGCCTTCTGGAGGCAACTCAACATGATGAGGAGAATTTACTGTTTGTTCCAATCAAAACCTAGAGATAGGTAGATAGATAGGCCCCCAAATGCCCTTGTAGAGCCATTACTGTCAAAAGCTTGCAATTATAAATCCTTCCCTGCCCCTTTGAGAATAAAAAGCTTGCACCATTCAGAACTGTCACTATGAGGACCTGGGAGCCATCTCTTTGAAAAGCAAGAGCATCAGGAAGATGCTCTGGCTCTGACTCTTGCTCCAGTCCCTGTGGGAGAGAGGTACCTGACAGGGTGGGCTTCTTACTCTGATGTGTACTACAGCCTCCTGTCAACAGATATGAGAGATATCTAATAAACTGTTGTAAATTATTGTCACTCCACTGTGCTGTATATTCCTCCTAGCTAATTGTATTTTGGTACCCATTAGCCAACATCTCTCTAATCCCCTTCCCACATCCCCTTCCCAGCATCTGGTGATCACCATTCTACTCTCTATTTCTAAATTTGACTTTTCATATTCCACATGTAAGTGAGGACATGCACTATTTGTCTTTCTGTGCCTGGTTATTCCACTTAACATGATGATATTCAAGTCCATCCATGTTGGATTTCATTTCCTTTTATGGTTGAATAATATTCCATTGTGTATATACTACATTTTCTTTGTCTGTTCTTCCATCCATGAACACCTAGGTTGATTGTAATCTTGACTATTGTGAATGTTTGGGGTGATAAAAAAAAGCCAATTACCCATATGTGATCATTACATGTTGTATACATGTATGGAAATAGCACACGGTACTTTGTGAGTATGTAAAATTATTATGTGTCAATTTAAAAATAGAGAGAGAAGTATGTTTCCCTTCCAGATAAGAACCTACTCTGTCTTAACTCTCCTTGAAGTCATTTCCTGAGTATACCCCAGCCTTTATATAGTGTTCCCCCTTCTGTTCTGGTAAGATTGAGATCAGTTTTTCTCAATTCTCTTCCCTATTGCAATAGCCTATCCTTACCATTTAAACTATGTTTAATAGAGGAAAGAGGCCAATACGGGCATCTCACCCTCATTATCAGGGGGTGTTTCAGTGAGCTTTGAGCAATCCTTCTGCCTGTGCTCCTCTTCTCCAAGGTTTAGTGACACATAAGATAATGCCATTTTTGTCCCTCATGACAGTCCCAGAACCAAAGGCATTGAAGTGTGCCCACTGGGGATATGTGCTTTCCCCACGCCCCCTGGCACACAGGAAGGAAGCACAGACAGGCACAGATGGCAGCACCTGTTCATTTTCTACCTAGTTTCCCATTTGACCTTTTTTTCTGCTGAGAAAAAAATTATTCAGAGGTGGACTCAGCCCCTCCTGGACCTAATCTCTCATAACACAGGTGTTTGATAAGATTGCCCCCCTGCATCGGCATGATTTTCTCAGGTCTGTATTTAGATTCACAGGTGCAGCAGTCAGGCTCAAAGGCTAGCCTGTGTGTGATCCTGATGACAGGCCACCACCATCTCCCCAAGGGCCTTCAGCTTTCAAGTGGTAAAGAGGACCCAAGGGCAGGGGTTAATCAGATCACACAAAGAATTACAGGGCCACCACCCTCAAGGACACTGCACAGGTGGGAACTTAAATGGCTTTGCATACATGAGATATGTAGTAAATAACACAAATAGGTTCAGAGCTCATAAAGGGGAAGCACAAAGCTCTGGTGAGGGAGGGCTCCTGGTGTGTGTGTGTACATGCATGTATTATTGCATGTGTGTGCAGCACAGCCTCTGTATGGCAGGTGGGCACAGGGACTCGGGTCTTGATGGGGCCTAGCAAGAGGATATGAAGGCAAGCAGCAGCTGTGAGAGCGGGGACAGCTGGCCAGATAGCACCGAAGTCCTGCATGGGACTAGTTTGGGGGTTTTCAATGGTGGGGCATTATTAGCACCTGGTCACCCCCCTGGGATGGCTGGGATTAACTTCTCTGCCATTGAGGCTGGGCCCTAAAACATGCTTGTGGTACCCACCCCAGGAATAGCACCAGATTCCTGGTACTTTGCCTTCAAGGAGACAGAAGCAGGGGTAGAAGTAGACAGGGAACTGACCAGATGTGTTCTGGAAGGAGGAGAATCAGAGCTGGGTTTTTGACCAGTAGCCTACCCACAGATGCCAGTGGCAAAGGTCTATGTACTCACCCTTAAGGATAAAAGATGGTGGTTTCCACCCCAAACTGCAAACACAAAATGCGCTCTTCCGCTAAAATGAAAAAAGCTCCTTTCTAGGCCTCCGGACTCCCAGGTACCACCTTTGCAGTGATGATTCCCCTCCCCCAACACATGGCCCAGCCCTGCTCTGAGATCTGTGGAGGCTGTTGGGTGGCAGCAGCCTCAGTCCTGATGCACCTCAAGAGTCCTGTGGTAACACGGTGGCGTCCCACACCTGGGGAGGGGGAATTCTGCTCCCCCACTCCACTGCAGGTGCCACTCAGTGAGGGGTGTCCAGAGAGCAGGACTGAATGACAAAGAGCCCAGACCCATTGTTCCTAAACAAATGCCACTTTCCTCTGGGAGAGGTGGATCTGGGGGGACTTAAAAATCGTCCCACCCCAGGAAAATTTTTTGTCTTTCTTTTAATACCATCAAACATGACAGCCCCACCTGCCATGAAGATAGCGAGCTGGAGGCTGAGCTCTCAGGCCCAGCTGCAGCGACATTGCGTGTTTTTCTCTTCTTGTGGTTTCTCCTCGGGGTTAGGCAATGTTTCATTTCTCAGCATAACGACCAACAGAGCTGGCCTCTCTCCACAGTGTCAACACAGTCTCATCAGTGGAGGGGGCTGGGAGACATGGGCTGGAGAGCTGCTCCACGTCAGCCTGTGGAGTCCCTGGGCACCTTCTGAGCCTATTAATTAATGCAGCAGTGAGAAGCCCCAGTGTACTCTGGAGGGTCCTAGGTGGAGGGCAAGGCTGACCCAGGAGTGTTCAATTAGGATTAGGACACAGTGAGTGTCTGACCAGCAGGCACTGCTCCAGGGCAGTCACCACACTACCATCCACTGCAAAGACCCCCAGGCACTAGGCCAGCACCTGCTTTCCAATGACCAGGCTGGCCTAGGCTGGGGCCCATGTCCCCGCTTCCTGGAAGTCTGCCCCAGTTCCTTGTCTCAGCTCTTTTTCTTTACCCCACAGCCCCAGCTGGCCCCGTTGCCTCCTCTAAGGGCCACTTGGGGCATCCCTGCCAGATTCTAAGTTTTGACCACTTGTTGGTTCATTTCTGGGTAGTCACCGTAAGGTGACAGTGAACTGTAGAGTAGGGCTTCAACTCAGGCCTGGTGCCTACAAGGCCACAGTGGCACTTGCAAAGGGCATCAGAGGGTGCCTTACACTTCTATGTAGCAAGACGACCCATATAGGCTTCTGCACCCAGGAAGGGACACCCTCTTAACTTGGGTAGTGGCTCCCTACTTTGGGGTCTGAGTACTTCACACAGGATTTCAGGAGCTGCCACCTTGATGCACTGCTCTCCAACTGCAGTCTTTAGGTCCTCAGTCCCTCCTGCCCCTGGTCAGACTCCACCCTGCCTGGCTGTGGCCATGTGGAGCCACATTGTGTTTGCCAACATCTAGTCCCACTCCACAGATGTCGTTGGGGCAGCTGTGGTCCAAAATCAATTTTGACACCCTTGTTCTCTGCTTTGCCAGCCTTCTGAAGTTTGCATGGCCTGTGACCCCACACCATGGTCAGCTGGGGAAATCTGTTGCTTTACTGATACAGGGAAAGGATGTAGGTGGCAAGGTCCCTGATCTTTCTTACTACTTGAAGGTGGGCCTAATGTTGGAAGCCATCTCATTGTGACGAAGGCCCAGAGGATGCTCTAAGATAGTTGAGCCTGAACCACACTCCAGTGTCTGTTCCTGCTCCCTGCAGCCAGATTCAGCTAGACTCATTCCTGGCTACTGCTCCAGTGGGCCCTGGGAAGCCCTTGCAGTAGAGAAGTGGGGGAGGCAGGGTGTGCCATGACTCCCACTCCCTAGCATTCCACAGCTTCAAGAATGAAATCCTTCTCCCCATGGAGGTGGTCCTGCCCATCAGCTCACTGTAACAGCCTCAGTGGGGTTTTACCTGTGTCACGATGTGGGCCTTCAGAAGGCTGATTGCCTTCCTCTCTGTCTCAGAGTCTGCAAAAAGAAATTGATAAGGTATCAGATGGCTCTCCAGGGGAAAACCTCCTGCAGGGCCAGCTCACCTGGAATCTGCATGGTCAGTTATTTTGTAACCAGCCAGGGTGAAGGTGCTTTCTGACATGCACATTCTTTCTGTGCCCTCTTGACACTCCCTTTCACCCATAGGGGACTCACAGTCTTCTACTCCCTGCAGTCCTTTCCCTAGTGCTCATTCCAGGACAGATGGAGGAGGCCTTCTGGAGGCCTGGGAACCATCATATGAGCTCCCTGAAGCTGATACCCCCCACCTTCACCTTGTACATGGTATGTGTTGTGTGTGTGTGTGTGTGTGTGTGTGTGCATGTGTGTGTGAGAGAGCGGTCCTCAGCGCCAAGTTCATGGCCTTGAAGCCACTCCCACCTCCTGCCCTTGTCCCACATTAATTCTCAATACCACAATTCTCTGGGTGCCACTCCTCAGGGTTGTTGCCCTGGATCCTCAGCTGGTAACGAAATTTGGGGCTGCAGCCTGCTAAGTACACACATCCCCTAAAAGCAGCCCTAACAAGGAGGCACAAGAACGGAGATGAGGTAGGGGTCTCTGCAAGCCCAGGTGCTGCTCGGCTGGATGACCAGAATGCTGGGGTTGGTCCCACCCCACCCCCTGGAACTGGCTGTTCAGTTCTGGCTAGGAATAGAAAGTCCTTCCTGGAGGCCAAGCAGAGCAGGGCCAGGTTCTCAACATAGCCCAGAATACCAGAGCAAGCCGGGGAAATCCTAGGAGGACAGGCAGGACCCCCAATGACAGAGGCCCCCTGGGAAAACTCTGTTTTGACTGCAAATGAGGGAGCCTGGACACAGGCAGGGCCCCCTGCCCCGTGACTGGGAGCCAGGCGTGGGAACAAGAAGAAAGAACAGTTCAGGAACCCACAACCACAGTGGGTTTCGGTTCAACCAGCATTTGCGGAACTCCAGCTTTGTGCCAGGCAGGGTGCTCAACCTTGGGAAGGTGCCAAGAGGAAGGTGATACAGGCCTGCCCTCCTTAGCATCTGCTCTAAGCAGATGGCACCAAGGAAAAGCTGCTTACAGGTGCACATGGGGGGCTGGTCCCCAGAGAGGGGATCCCCAGCAGTTCGGCTGACTGTGGAGGGGAAAGTAGGTTTTTACCAGTGCTGGGAGAGACCAGTGAAGAGAGGGTGATAGGCATGCCAGTTGGTCATTAGGCTGGGGGCAGGAAAGGTGACCAGGGCCAGAGCAGGGCAGGAGTCTGTCAGCCAGGGAGCAACAAACTAAGGCTACAGTTTCTGGAAGATGGCAACAGTATGGGTGGCAGCATTGGGAAGGCAGGATTGCTATGGCTTCTTGAGGGGGTGAGTAAGACAGGGCCGTTGTGAGTAGTAGAATGTGTGCCGCAATCCCCTCAAATGGCATAGTTAAGAGACCCAGGACACAGTTAAAAGCTAGAAAGAAAGACAATCACCTTTCCAGGAAGAAATCCAGTTCCAGTTCACCCTCATCAAATAATGCACTATAGAATGTGATGGGTTGCAGTTTCTAGTGTCTTCATGTTTAGGCCAGATGTCTTATAAGGAAGATTTTGGCAAAAAGTCTATGCACAATTTAAGTCTTTAGCAAAAAACCAATTCTAGCTGACTATCAAAAAGAGGACCTTGAGACAAGGAAGTCACACTGAAGCTCCAAAGAGACCCAGAGCAGGGTGTGGTGGCCTCTGAAATTGGACCTGGTTGCCTACAGGACTCAGGGTGCCTCTGGGATCCCCCTGCATTAGCATGGAGCTTCTTTCTCTGTGTACAGGTGCACCTTGCTGGCTAGACCCTGCTGTGGAAAATGACTGCTCCAAATCTCACCAAATTTATTTCTCTGTAAACTGAAAAATTAGTTCTGATCTTCTGGGGCCAGTTCCATGCTCCTGAGGAGCCAGCTCTGATTGGCTTGGCTTGAGTCAGGGGCCCATCTCAGGACCAATCAAATGTGGCTGGTGCAGGGGCAAGTCATACTGTAGAAAAGCACCCCCAAACCTGAATCAGAAGGAACAGATCCCAGACAAGTGTGAGGTGGTGCTGAGGATGTGGGTCTCACATACACATATGTACAGCACATGTACACACATATTCACATACAACACACATCATACAGATGCACACACACATGCATACCTCACAACCTGATTTATATAGAGGAAATGGCAGGTGTGTATATATTTGCCTCCCCAAATCACAGAGCAGCCATGGTTATGTGTGTGATTGCTACATCTACAGATTAGGGCCAGGTAAGTTTCTTGATTTTTGTAAGATGCTCACATGTCTGGTTAGCTCTGTGATCTTTCAGTGTTCAGCTTGGACAAAAAGTAGTCATCAAGGGCTTGCCTGCCACAATGGGCCATGCCTTGAGGGCATAAAGATATAAAATAAGGCTCCTCTTCTGCTCATAAGGACTTACCTTGGAGCCATAGGGAACTTGGCTGATAGGTCACGATCACCTATAGGAGAAAGAAAACTTAGAATTTAACTTGACTCTAGTTGTCTTCTTTTCTCCCCCTCTTTCTTTCTCTTTCTCTGTCTGTGTGTGTCTTAAGCAAAAATTTTCCCCCCAAAATAATCCTATGTGATAATAATCCTCAAGGTATCCCTGAGGATGATCACAGTTGCCTAAGACGAGTTCCCATCCTCCTTTCTCACTTCTCTTTCCCCAGGGTAAATCCTGAACACACCTTTGGAATCAGTTTGAAAAATACACAGACCCCCCTATCCCTAGCATCAAGTTCTCCCTCCTACCTAGGCTGTCACGGCCTCCTTCTTCCTCATAGCACAAGTTTCCTGAGCCAGCGTGTTCTTCCCTGGGGTCTGCAAGGACCTTGGGTTCCTGGTCCAAGAATTCGAATGGCAGCTTTGGGTTGTGCATACAAGAGCTAGGGTGCTGGCTCATGGCTCCTCCATGCCTTTCCTCAAAAGCCTTCCTCTACTTGGGCTCCTGTGGGTAGGAGACCCAATGCTGACCTTCCTGTGGCCCTCGGGTCTCAGGCAGAGATCACATGGTTTTCCACTGCACTGGCCCATCCAGGTCCTCTTATACCCCAGCACTGTGGTTTTAGTACCTTCTATATCTGGCTTCATGAATGCCTCATTTTACAAAGGGACCAAGAAACAACTTGCAGAGATGGCCAAAGCAAAACAAGGCACACAGTGTCCTTGCTTTGGCCATGTGTCAGGTCACATTATCTTTTTAATCCTCACAATGACCCATATCTTTACACATGAAGAGACCACAGCCTTGACTTGATCTTGTCCCCAAGATCACACATCTGGTAAATGCTGGGCAGGAAGTTTAAACCAGATTCCTAAGATTCTACAGCCCCTATTCTGCAGTGAAGCAGCATGGATTGTCAGAGGCTCACCGAGTATGGGCCTCCTAGGCCCCGTCTCCCATCCACATGTCTTTGGCACTGCCACACGATGATCACTGTCTGCATGTTGCGTTTAGCTACTCATCTTATCTCCCCCTGCTTAAAATTCTACAAGAGACCCCAGGCCTGCAAAGAGCACCACATCTCCAGAGAGATCGGATCCCTATTGGCCACAGGTGCCACTGCTTGCAAAGCACCCTCCTCTGGCCTCACTGAAAACTCACCCTTAAAGGTGGTGGGCCCTGAGTTGCACTGCTCCCACTGCCTTGGGTGCTCTTTCCTCTTCTCTGCCTTAGGGACTCCCCACAAAACCATATTTCCCAAGGCTCCAGGTACCTGTTGCTCACAGCATTCTCTTCCCAATATCCCCTCCCCTGTCCATGACCCCAGATGTGTCCTGCTTTCCTAGGTATCTTAGCATTTGGGCCTGTGTGTGTGTGGGGGGGCAAACGAGCTGTTATGGGTTGAACTGTGCCTCCCCAAAATTCGTGTTTTGCAGCCTTGACCCTCAGACCTCAGAATGTGACTGTATTTGAAGATAAGTGTCTTAAAGGGAAACTAAATTAAAATGAGACCATTAGAACAGGCTCTGATCCAGTGTAACTGCTGTCCTTGTAAGAAGAGGAGATTAGGAAACACACAGATACCAAGGTCATGCCAGAAGGAAAGACCATGTGAGGACACAGGGAAAAGACTGCCAACTACAAGTCAAGGAGAGAGGACTTATTAGAAACCAACCCGGCTGATACTTTGAATTCTGCTGACTTCCAGTCTCCAGAACTGTGAGAAAATAAATTTCTGTTGTTTAAGACACTTATTCTGTGATACTTTGTTATGGCAGCTATTGCAAACTAACACATGGGCTATACACTCCAGAAAACACCATTTTACATTCCTATCTGGAAATATAGAAGGGTTCCAACTTCTCTACATCCTTTCCAACATTTGCTATTGCCTGCATATTTTTTTCATTGTAGCCATAGCCATGGCCCTTGTGGGTATGAAGGACTATCTCACTGTGGTTTTGATACAATGCAGTTTTAGTGTTTCCTTGATAACTAATGAGGCTGAGCATCTTCTCACATATTTATTGGACACTAGTACAGACTCTTTTGTGAAGTGCCCTCTCAAGCCCTTTAGCCTTCTTTTTCCTGTTGGATTATCTGCCATTTCATATTGATTTCTAGGAGTTTTTTATATATTGTAGATATGAGTCATTTGTCAAATACGTATGTTGTAAGCATCTTCCCCCAGTTGTGTCTTGCTCTTTTACTCTCTTAATGAATGAATCTTTTATTTTTTCATTTGTATTTATTTTTTGAATGAATCTTTTAAATCCAAGTTCTTAATTTTAATATAGTCCACTTTATCCATTTTCTTCTTTCTCTCCTCCCCTCCTTGTCCTCCTCTCTTTTCTTCTCCTCCTCCTCCCCATCATCCTTCTCCTCTCCATCTTCATTGTCACTGTTGTCATTGTCTTCTCTTTTGCAATCTCTTCAGGGTAGTCAGGAGCCATCCCCCCCACAGTCTTTGTGGACACACATTTTACCATAATAGACGAGAGCAATGGCAATTTCCTGTCCCAAAGTCTTACCTTCTCTAGGTGCCACCTCCTAAGCAACCATAGGTGATAATCAAGTATTTGTGATGCCACAGGTGACCAGTATCCCATCTGCCATGAGTAACAAGTTTATCTCTGCATTTATACTCTCACAGGAGAATAACCCAACCAGAGGCCCAACTTCAAGGGTCTGTTTCTTAAATCAGTCAAGGCCTAGTCAGGAAACGGAACACATATAAATATTTCACATGGAAATTAATGCAGAGAACTGATGACAAAGGGAAAAGGGTAGAAGGATGGATGAATGAAAGAGTCAACAGGAAGAGAGGACTAGAGAGCCAAAGGAAGAAAGGGTGGTACCCATGTAAAGAATTGTCTTCCTAGTGAAATCTTTCCAGGCTACCCAGTTCAAAAATTGATGAAAAAATAAAACTAAATGATTGGGAGTTACTTGCAAACTTGGAAGTAATTTTCCATCCTAAGTATTTAAGTTCTCTGGCATGAATTATCTGAAATAAACTAAACAATTACCTAAACCCAACTTTTAACTGCAAGATTATGCAATGCTTCAAAAACTCATTCAGATACCAGATTGTTACAATAAAAATCGTCTTTTAGACACACATTCAGCCTAGATTATCCCCAAGAAACAATCTATAATAACCTTTAAAACAGGTGTACCAGTGCATTAATTTGGACAAGGATAGTAAATTATGATATGGTATCTGTTCCCCTCAGTGTGTAGGATTTAGGAAAGGAAAGTGTTGGATTGGGATGTTGGTCTGGCTTATTGAAATGACATTGAATAGCAACAGTCTTGGGAATTTTTAAAGCTTAATTTATAGACCACCCATCACTCAAATGGCCTTCCAGCCTATTACTTCTCAATCAGACTTCTATCATGAACCACTCGATAGACCCGATTTTTAAAGGGGACTAAGTGCTTGCCCAACATCGTCCCCTTTCAGCCTGAAGAAAGTTAGGTAGTCAGTGTAGTTAGGTAAATCGGATCTAATATCGAGTGAAATCTAAAATGGAGGCCATGAGAATGAATTCTCATGGAAGAATTCTCTCTCAAGAGTTGAGCAACTCTTGAAATGTTAATGAAGTCCAGGAAACAGCCCCCAACAGATTTGAAGATAGCCCATCCCAAAGAAATGTTAATGAACAGCAAGCTTGAAGATGCTGCCTCAGGAGTCCTTCCTGCCCAGATTACTTCTTTGGCCCACCTGTGTCCCACCCCTCGGGCCTTCCCACCTACATTCCATCACCGAAAACTATAAAAAGGGTAAACAACCGCACTTCCACGGATTCCACCTCTTGGGTCCCCTTCTTCCTCCGGGAGAAGTCTTTTCTGCTGTCCCTTAATAAACTTCTAATTTCTACTCTGAAAAAAAAAAAAAAAAAAAGAATTGTCTTCCTCGTTTAGTGCTGCTATAACAGAGTATCATAAACCAGATGACTTACAGACAATAGGAATCCATTTTTCCACAAATTTGGAGGCTGGGAAATACAAGGTCAAAGCACCAGCAAATTTAAAGTCTAGTGAGGTCCTCCTGGTCCATAGATGGTGTCTTCTCCTTGTATTCTCATTTAGGGGAAGAGGTGAGGGGGTCTCTCCAGGGACTCTTTTAAAAGGGTCCACTCTCCTAACCTTATTAACTGCCAAAGACCACACCTACTAATATCACCACATCGAGGGTGACAATTTCAACTTATGAATTTTGTTGAACAAACATTTGGATCATAGTGCCTTGGGGCTAGAGCCCAGAGCTTGCTCCTGCTACTGCCCTAGAGGAGAAGCAGGAGCTACAAGAGGAGCTGATGCTGTGGAAGAAGCTGGAGCTGCAGGAGGAGCTGTTGGCTCTGGATCTAAGAGGGGACACCTTCTCAGCCAAGGCTGCAAATGTTGATAAAATTGTCATCCATGCCACAGATTATAGGTTCTATAATTGCCTAGCTATTCAGCAGTTAGGATGGTGCTGCAACTACAATTCTATCAGAACAGACACTTCTCTCTCTCTCTCTCCTGCCTCCTGAGCTCCTGCTGAGCCAGCTATGTGAGGTCCTACAGCAAGCGAGGAGCCTGGGTAATGCAGAAATCCAATCCCCAGAGCAGAGCACAGGGGCAGTTATGGCCCAGGGCTACTGGTAGTTGCCAGCACAGCTCCACCTGGCTCCAGGTCTATGTGGCTCTAAGTGAGCAGACATCTGCTGTCATCCTTGAATCTCTGGGCTCCCCAGTACTATGGAGATATTTTCTGCAGTTCCCCACCAGGGTGACAGTGATTCACACTGTGTGTGGCTCACAGGTCACTTTCTGAGGCTTTCCTAAATCCACAGGACTGTATTGTCCTGGGGCTATGCACCTCCCTCACTAGGAGGGAGTTTTCTGATTTAGCCTTATGCCCAAAATGCAGTGGATGTTGAATGAATTAAGAATGAAGGAATAAATGAGTGCAATGGGTTAGGGACCTTTCTCTCTGAGGATCCCCTTTCCATGCTCCAAATATGTCTATTTCCTCAAACCCCAACCCCAGGCTCACGCTTGGCCACTCCCCTCCCCCTGTGTCCTTCCTCTGGACTCTGCACCTGGTCTTCAAGGATGTGTAACTGGAACTGTGCTTTTAATGGCAAGGTCCCGAGCCTTGTGGCATAAACCACACAGCTGGCTATTTATCACCCAGGCTCTTTATGTAGAATTCATGAAAAACATAACTGGGCGGTTGAAAAAAATTTGGAAAATTCAGGTTTAAGCAGATTAAACTCCATTCTTTACTATAGAACTTAAATTCTTAAGATGCCAACGCGACACTCCAGAAAGGGGACACATTAGCTGCATTCCCCAGACTGATGTAACCACCAAAACTTCCTCTTTAGGAACACTGTTATGGTTTAGATGTGAGGTGTCCCCCAAAAGCTCACGTGTAAGACAACGCAAGAAGGTTTAGAGGTGAAATGATTGGGTTATAAGAGCCTTAACCTAGTCAGCGCATTAACCCCCTGATAGGGATGAACTTGGTGATGACGGTAATCAGGTAGGGTGTGGCTGAAGGAAGTGAGTTGTTGGGGTGTGCCCTTGGGGTTTATATTTTGTCCCTGGTGAAGGGGCCAGCCCCCCCCCCCACTTCCTGGTGCCATGTCCTGAGCCATTTTCCTCTGTCACACTTTTCTGCCTTGATAGTCTTCTTCATCTCAAGCCCAGAGCTATGGAGTCAGCCATCTATGAACTGAGACCTATGAAACCATGAGCCTCCACATAAACGATTCTTCCTCTAATTGTTCTTGTCAGACCTTCTGGTCAGAGAGGCAAAAAAGCTGATTAGATAAACACCTAAGCAGAGTTTAGTAACTGATAAATTATGACTCTCTAAATATATTCAATTGACCTACTTTGGTAACACATGTACGGAGTAAAACATTCAATAAGTCCCTGTGCTCTAGGGAGCAAGCCCCAGCAACCAGCAGGCTCCTTCTCATCGCTGCTCACAGAAGCCAGTTTAGGACCTTGAGGTGTCCTCTTGGGATAAAAATATCAAGAACAGCTTCAGGCTGTAGCCTTGAAGGGCTAGGGAGGTAGTTCAGTGATGGAACACTTGCTTATTGTGTGTGAGGCCTGGGTTCCATCTCTTGTACCACAAACAAACAAAGAACATGGAAGAAGGTGAGCTTCTTGATATGTTGTCCATGAACTGCTTGAGAGGTTGCCCCATGCTGCTGTGCGGAAGCACCTTGAAACCATTCTCACTTCTTAATGTAAACAGACTTTCCCTGAAGTGGGGTAGGAGTGAAGCCAAGCATATAATGACAAAAGATAGTAAGGAAGGGGGAATGGGATGGGTTTGTTGGTTGTTATTTGTTATTACATAACCAATCGTTCCCAGGTCTTGCCGCTTAAAATAACAAACATTTATTATTTCATATGATTCATTAACTCATATGCCTGTTACTTAGCTGGGTGGTTCTGGATCAGTATCTCTCATAAAGTTGCAGTCAAGACCTCAGCCAGGCCTACAGGCATCTGAAAGTTTGACAGTAGTTAAAGGGTCTGCTTCCAATGTAATCACATAGTGTGGGCTGGGATCCTCAGTTCTTGCCACATGTAGCTCTCCACAGGGCCATTGAGTGTCTTCATGACGTGGCAACTGGTTTCCTCCAAGACAGAGGAAGCAAGGAAGAAGCCACAATGCCTGATTTGACCTAATCCCCAAGGTCACACTCAGTTCTGCTACATTTTTTTATTTTTGAAGTTGTTTTGTTTGACTTTATCATTTATGAATAATATGTCAACTCTCCAGATCTGCAGGTTTGCCATTAGTGGATTCAACCAACTATGGATAGAAAACATTCTGAAGAAAAGATTGCATCTGTACTGAACATGTGCAGACTTTGTTCCTTGTCTTTATTCCCTAAACAGTACAATATAACAAGCATTTACTGGGCATATTCGTTGTACTAGGTATCATAAGCTTTCTAGAGATGATTTAAAGTATTTGGGAGGATTGTGTATGTTCTATGCACATACTTTGGCATTTTATATAAGAGACTTGAGCATCTGCAGATTTTGGTATCTGAGAAAGATCCTGGAAACAATCCTTCACGGATATTGAGGGGGAAACTGTAGAGTATAATATATCAACTACATAGTGAATTTTATTTCTGAGATGATTCAAATTCCATGAGGGACCGGTTGCCTGTAAAACAAATATTCTCCTCATAATATAATTTCCTATGCATAAATAGGAAAGTATTATAATGACTCATTTTGTTTAATGAACTCAAAATGCAGCTCAATATGCTATTGTGTATACTTTTAAAGTTAGTTTTCAGGATTATATATGAGATGTTGTTAGATTAATATAATTTTAATATATACTTCATTATAGTTAGTATGTTTACTTAGAATATTTAATATACACCATTCACAGGCAAATAACAAAAGAATTCTCCCCAAAACATTATCTTATTAAATGCTTTATCATTTCTTAAAACGTTTGGAAAGTCCTTCATAAGAATTAAAGAAGAATAAAATTATGGCATTTGCCAGTAAATGGCTGAAGTTGGAGAATATTATGCTAAGCCAAATAAGCCAATCCCACAAAACCAAAGCCCAAACGTTTTCTCTAATATGAAGATGCTCATTCACAATAAGTCGAGGAGCACTAGGGAAGAATAGCATTACCTTAGATTAGGCAGAGGGAAGTGATGGGAGGGGAGGGGAGGGGATGTGGGAATAGGAAAGATAGCAGAACAAAACAGACATTATTACTGTATGTATATATGTGACTACATGACCAATATGGTTCTGCAACATGTACACTCAGAAAAATGAAATTATATCCCATCTATATATGGTATATCAAAGTGCATAAATGTATTCTACTGTCATGTATAACTAATTAAAACAAAAAATTTTAAAAATTATTTCTTAATATAGATTTCATGAAGTATAAAAACCTTCTGATTCTCTTGGAAAGGAAGATTATGTCAGCTTAAGAGAGCATCTGAAATATTCACTGTGATTGGAATATGTTTATATTCCAAGGGCTTGTGTGCTAGAGGCTTGATCCTCAATGTGGTGTTGAGGTGGGGGATATTTAAAGAGGTGGGGCCTAGTGGTAGGTGTACCAATATTGCAGACATGCTCTCAGAAGGAATTAATACTGGTCTCACAGACTGAGTATGCAATGCTATAAAAAGAACAAGACTGGCCTCCTGTTCTCTGGCTTCCTATCTTACAATAAGGTTCCCTCTTTGTTTCTGCCATGCTGTGATGCAGCCCAGAGGGCTCTCACCAGAATTCAAACAGATCTTGGATTTTCAGCCTTTACATCTGTGAACAAAATTAACCAAAGATCTTTCTTTGTAAAGTAAATGGCCTTAGGTATTTTGTTACAGAAACAGAAAACAAGCTAATACAGGTAGAAATACTAGAGGATTCAACATGAACATTTGGTTTTCTAAGTCCTCAGCTTCAACCATACCACAGTCACAAGTTATTAAGGATTTCTCTTGGTGAAATCTAAGCAAATTTAGAGGCATCTATTTGCTTGAGAGCCAAAGGGTGTTGAGGATGCTCTTTAAATGTAACTTAACGAAGCTGAAGGAACAGATTTGTCTGTCCCTCTAGCACCTGCAGGTTCTTGTGACCTGCAAAAAGTTGGGCTTTCCCCTTATTGTTTTCCCTATCTGAGCTCCCTTCTGGGGACATGAACAAGATTTTGGATCTGTGGAAGATTTCAGCTACTCCTGGGATTAGAACCATCACTCTAGATGATTTCTTATTCCATGGAAACATATGCAACCAGAAGGCTGAACCTCCATTTGGGGCTGGGGCAAGATGGACAGTGCTGTCCAGCTGGTAGGTCTGTCTGTCCAGGTAGAGGGAAGGCCACACAAGACTTCCACCAAGGGGCGGAAGAGCAAAGTGCAAGGATTAAACTGCTATTGGACCAGGTCCTGGCAAGACCAATTTATGGCCAGGAAATTTTAAACACTTTACTTTCTAGAGCCCGATGCTGCTGTTGAGGACTAAGCAGAGCCAGGGAAGGGAAAGAGGAGAGTACCTCTGGAGCAAGATCAAATGTGGATCCCAACTCACAGCCAGCAACATGGGCTTAGGTGGGCAAAAAAAGAGGGTACTTTTAACTGAGGGTTCCTCAGTTACTTAATGTCAGACTCCTTCAATGGGAAGGCGGGAATCCCTGCACACACACACACAAAATCAGAAGGGCTTCCAGCAGCCAAATTTCCCTTTGTCCTAGCTCGGTGGGTCACTAGGGGATGACTGTGAATGCTTTAGCACATCTGAAGTTCTGCAGCCCCAGCTTGAACCAGGCAAATGGAGAGATAAACCCTGTCCTGCCAAGATCAGGAAGTGGAGTGGAATTCTAGATAACCTAGGTTGTTGTGTCAGTTATCTATTACTGCATAACAAACCTCCTCCAAAACAGTGGATAAAAAACAAAAACAAACCAACCTGTTCTTTAGCTGATGAATCTGTGAGTTGACAAGGTACATCCGGGGGCACTTTTTGTTTGAGTTTTCAGTTAGGACAGGTCATCTCAAAAGCATCCTTGCTCTGGTTCCTGCATGGAGAAGGTTGAGACAGCTGGAAATGGAACAGCTGGGGCTTCTTGTTCTTCTTTCTCCCTCCTTTCTTTCCTAGGGTCTTCTCATAAGGGTGGACAACTTCCTTACATGCTGCTTAAAGACTCCCCAGGGAAGGTCCTAAGAAGCAGAAGCCATACGACAAGAAATTGGCCAATACTCCTTTTTCATTTCCTTCTAGAAATGAATAATGCAAGAAATTTTTTCTACATTGTTAGTAATAGTCCAAAGTCTCCCTTTTGCAGAAATCCAGGCCCAGGAGAGGTGAAGAAATGTTAGCAGAAGCAGTAGATTAGATCAAAGATGGAAAGAACTGAAGGAAAGCTAGGGATCAACTTGCAACTTGCAGAAGATTTTTGGTTGGGAGTTTGGATCTAGGGTGGGGAAGGGTTTTTGCTAAGGAGAGGATATTGTGTGTAGAAGAGGGGGCATCTATTAAGTAGTTTTGTTGCTAATTAACAATATCTTCCCATTTCTATTTTGGGGATTTCTCGAAAGCAAGAGGGAAACCTGGGATATGGTTGTTACATATGTCACCCCTGCCCAGTTCACATGTTGAAGCTCTAACTCCCAAAGTGACTGTATTTGGAGATAGGGCCTTTGGGAGGTGATTATGGTCACAAGGCTGGGTGTCTAATTTGATAGGGCTATCTCTTCATGTGCCCTGAGAAAAGGCCATCTAAGGACACAGCAAGAAGGGAGACACCTATAAGCCATGGAGAGAGGCTTCCCAAGACAACAACCTTTTGACAACTTGATCTTGGGTTTCCAGTCTCCAGAATTGAGAGAATAATTTTCTAATGTTTAAGCCACAATGCCTATGGAATTTTGTTACGGTGGCTCCAGCAGGTTAAGACAGTTGTATTTTGTTTTATTTCATTTCATGTTTTTCAGCTTCTATTCTTTGTGTTTGTATGCCAAAAGTGGATCATGATCCTGCTGAGCTTTTATATAGGTTATATAGGAATCCTGTGATGACAGGGCCCACGGGCTCAATCTGTCCCTGATGTGATGACAAACCAGCAGGAATGCCAAAGAGGCCAGCCTCGTATCAAAAAGGACCATGGTCGGGCTGGGGATGTGGCTCAAGCGGTAGCGCGCTCGCCTGGCATGCGTGCGGCCCGGGTTCGATCCTCAGCACCACATACAAACAGAGATGTTGTGTCTGCCGAAAACTAAAAAAAAAAATAAATGTTAAAATTCTCTCTCTCTCTCCTTCTCTTTAAAAAAAAAAAAAAAAAAAAAGGACCATGGTCATCATTATACAAAATACATGTATGAAGAAGTGAATTTGGTGTCAACATACCTTATATACAAACAGAGATATGATAAAGTGTGCTATAAAGGTGTATTAAGAATTGTGATGCAAAAAAAGGAGAGCTCATGAATAATGGCATAAGTTAGTGTGAACATACCTTATATATGCTGTGAATGGATAATTATGAATGTAATGCATTCCACTATTGTCATGTATGTAAGAAAATAAATTAAAAAAATAAAATTCTATAAACAAAGGGAAAAAAAGAGTAAAATGTTTTAGAACTTCTCACCACAGTTTCTATAATTTTCTTCTTGTCTTTGAATTTTCTTCTGTATAGATCTATAAAATGCTTAAGCATTTTAAATTTCTTACATACGTGACAATAATAATGACGTATGGTTCAGCTTTACCAACAAAATATAGTTTTGGGCTTCTTATTATTTTTTGTTTAATACTTAGTTAGGTGTTAATCCTTTTTTACAAATTTAATTCCTTGATGTATGCTTGCCCAATAAAATTTACAGATTGTGGGGAAAAAAAAGGACCACAGCCCAAAGGTGGCACAGAGATGCTGGCTGGAGCAGTGGAAACCCTCAGGTGCCCAGTCTCCCAGGCAGAATCCCCTGTCATTATGCTAATCAAACAACAGATTGGAGGAAAATGCTTGATAAATATTCAGCAGTGGGCAGAGAGGTGGACAGATCAGACCCTGACCTTCATCTTCCCGGGTCTGAGTCTCAGTTTTACCACATACAAGCCATGGGGCTTGGGGAATTATTTCAAGTCGATGAGCCTCAGTTTCCTTGTGTATAATGTAGGGTAATATAGCAGCCAGTATCACCTCCTGGAGGCCTTGTGAGGATCAAATGCGCTAGAGCATGCAAAGTGCTCAGTGTGGTGCCAGGCTTTAGGTAATGCTACTTACAAGCTTGCTACTGTTGTTATTATAGGAGTCTGAGGCTCTCCATTGTGCTGTGGCCCTGAGGAATTAGCATAAAGGAAGGGGGGGAGCATGGTTTCTCTTCAACTCTTCTCTTTTAAAGGTACTCTTCCCTAAGTCTGTGGAGGGTGCTAACTCAGGTGTCTGCAGAGTGTGTGTGTGTGTGTGTGGGGGGGGGGTACCAAAAGGGACTGTGACAAATGAGGCCAGCTGTGGGGCCTGCACCTGGAGCTGAGCCTGTGCCCTCCCACTGATGATGGCCTGTGGGAATGCCAAATCTTCCAGTTTTTCCTAGACTAGAAAACTATTTTGCTTCAATATGAAGCTTTCAATTTGTTAATTAATTCAAAAACTGCAGGGCCTACACAAGAGAAGTCCAGAGCAACCAGCTTGTGCCTTTGCCTGGACTTGGAATGTCAAGGTCAATTTGGAATAGTCCAGAGTAGGAAAGGTGCTCCAGAAACTTCTGTTGGATACCAATCCTGAGCATGCCCAAGGCAGGGCAGGGCAAAGGTAGAGTGTTAAAGGGGCAAGGAGAGAAGCCTTCTCAGAGGAAGAGTGGGTAGGGCTCTGGGTGACTAAAGAGCCCAAGCTCAGCCACATGGAAGTAAGAATCCCCTCTTGGAGCTTGTCTTTTACCAGGAGCAAAGGACTATGAAGTGCAAGTGGATGTCCCATGTGGGCTTGGCTGGCAGGTATCGGGAGGGATGTGAGGTGATAACTTCCCTGTGCCGATGAATTTGGACACCATCATAGTCACCATCATCACCACCACCCACTATAGCAGCAGTCCTCCTCCTCTTCCTCCTTCTTCTTCCTCCTCCTCCTCCTCTTCTTCTTCTTTTTATTCTTCTTCTTATTATTACAGCATTATCTGTACATGGTTCATCCCAATGCACTCACACATGCATGGAATTCAATTTCAGTTCACATTCCCTCCCCCTTTTTCCTTCTCCTCCTTGCCTTCCCCCATTCTCCTTCCTCTACTGATCTTTCTTTTGCTCATCTATTTTATTTATTTTTGATTGATTCTTTCCACTTATAACTAAAGGTGAAATTCCTTGTGGTATATTTACATACACATATAGCATTATTTAAAAATTTTTTTCTGCATTTCCTCCCTGTTCCCATCCCTTCTCCCTCCCTTTTGATCTCCTTTTTCTTTACTCATCTTCCTGTATCTTTATGATATCTGATCTTTCTCTCCTTCTTTTCTTTATTTTGCTCTACCTTCTACATATGAGAGAAAACATTCAACTCTTGATTTTCTGAGACTGGTTTATATCACTTAGCATGATGTTCTCCATTTCTGTCCATTTACCAGCAAATGCCAAACTTCATTCTTCTTTTTGGCTGAGTAAAACTCCATTGTGTATATATGCCACAATTTCTTAATTCATTCATTTATTGACAGACATCCGGTTGATTCCATGATGTGGCTATTGTGAATCACGCTGCTGTAAAGTTGGAGGAATCTCTAGTGCTATCATCTGCTGATTTTAATTCTTTTGGGTAAATTCCTAGGCATAGGATAACTGGGTACTACGGTGGTTCCATTCCTAGTTTTTTGAGTAATCTCCATAACTGCTTTCCAGAGTGGTTGTACTAATTTGCAGTCCTAATAGCAATGCACGGGTATACCTTTTCCCCCACACCCTTTCCAGCATTTCTTATTATGTTCTTGATAACTGCCAATCTGATTGGAATGAGATGAAATCTTAGTGTAGTTTTGATTTGCATTTCCCTAATTGCTAGGGATGTTGAGCATTTTTTCATTTATCTGCTGGCCATTTGTGTTTCTTCTTTTGAGAATTGTCTATCTAGTTGTTTTGCCCATTATTTATTGGGTTATTTGTTTGTTTGTGTGTTTGTGTGGTGTTAAGTTCTTTATACATTCTGAATATTAATCCCCTGTCACAGCAGCAGCTGGCAAAGATTTTTTTTTTTCCTGTTCTTCAGGCTCTCTCTTCACACCCTGAATCATTTTCTTGCTGTGCCAAAGCCTTCTAATTTGATGGCATCCCATTTATTGATTCTTGATTTTATTTCTTGAGCTTTAGGAGTCTTGTTAAGGAAGGCAATGCCTGCACCAACATGATGGAGTGTTGACCTTATGTTTTCTTCTAGTTGTTTCAAGGTTTTTCTGTTCAAATTCCTAAGTCTTTGATCCACTTTGAGTTGATCTTTGTGCAGGGTGAGAGAGAAGGATCTTGCTTCATTCTTCTACATATGGATATCCAGTTTTCCCAGCACTATTTGTTAAAAAGGCCGTCTTTCCTCCAACATATATTTTGGGCACTTTTGTCAAGTATCAGATGGATCTAAGTAGGAGGTTTGCCTCTGTGTCTTCTATTCTGTTCCGTTGGTCTTCATGTCTATTTTGATGCCCATGCCAGCAGCAATCCATCTTTGCAGAGCACCTTGCTTCAGGTACTTCTGCCTTATTGTCCTCTCCTGGCTCCAGAGCGTTCATGGATCCCAGTGGCTTCTATAGGCCCACATCAGCTACATGCTGAGAGGCTCAGAGACAGCCACCAGAGTGTGTCTGGCCTGTCCACACAAGCCCCAAGTTGCCAGCAGCTGCTGTGTGCCAGGCTTGCAACAAGGGTGAAGCTTTAATAGGACGAGGTAAGTTCTCTGCCCTCCTCCTCCACTATGCCATGCCACCTGGAAGACTTGCTCTCTCCACTTTGTTCTGCCTGCTTCTCTGGTCTCTCCCTTTCCACATGTCTGTTGCCTTACTAGGTGCCCAAAACATGGTCATCAGACAAGAGAAATGCTTGTCCCAAATGCCTGGCATCTGGTCAGCCTAGTGGTGCTACTCTCAGTCCCTTTAGTTATGGTGTCAAGGGGACACTAATCTGTGTCTGGTGTCCCCTTGACACCAGACACAGATTAGTGGATTCAATGAAGGAGGCT